TTCTCCAGCTTCTCATACTCCTTCTTCCTGCTGTTGCTGTCACTTGGCACCACTACATCTATCACCACTGCTGTCTTCTGGTCCTTGTCTGCTACCATGATGTCTGGTTGATTGGCCAGTACCTGCCTGAATCTGAAAGTTCCACAGGATCTTAGCCCTGTCATTCTCCACAACCCTCTGTGGAATCTCCCATCTGGATTTGGGAGGGTCTAGCCCATACACTGTGCAGATGTACCTGTACACAATGCCAGCTACTTGGTTGTGCTGTTCAGTATATGCTGTTCCTGCCTGCATCTTGCCCCCTGCCACTATGTGTTGGACTGTCTCTGAGGCCTCTCTGCAGAGTCTGCACCTTGGGTCCTGTGTAGTGTGGTTGACCCCTGCTTCTATGGATCTGGTGCTTAATGCCTGTTCTTGTGCTGCTATTAGTGCCTCAGTGCTGTCTTTTAGTCCAGCCCTTTCCAGCCACTGGTAGGATTTCCCAATGTCAGCTACCTCAGTTATCTATTGATGGCACATCCCATGCAGGGGCTTGTCTTGCCACGGCACTTCCTCCACTTGAATTTCTTCCCATGTCTGCTGCTGCCTGAGGCCTTCTCTCAGCAGCTCATTTTTGGGTGCCATCTTAGTGATGTACTCCTGGATGCTCTGGGTTTCATCCAGGACAGTGGCTTGACACTCATCAGACCCTGCCCACCCTCTTGGTGGCTGGTGTACAATCTCTGGGTGTTGGACTTGGGGTGGAAACTTCCATATATTTTGAGGAGCTTTGATCTATATATTGATATGAGACTTAGAACATCAAAAATTGATGCTCCTGGTTCACAGATTCACTTCAAAGCCTCTCAGGCACCTCTACATCCCACAAGGTAACTAAACTCCATCATAGAAGAAAGAAAATACCTGGAGCAATTGCACACACTGCCTCCTTGAGTCTCTATTGAGAGAAAAAGAGAGCTATTCAGAGATCCTTGGTATAAACTGAGTAAATATTTAGCATACCAAGGACTCCCCTAACCCCCAATCCCATTCCAGGCATCCATTAACAATGGATACCTGGTTCACATATTAGGGCAGGCAATGTTTTGTTTAACTACAGTTTATTGAATAAATCACAATTGGCTTGGTTTGCACCATATGCTAAGTAAAACCAAATGAATTACTTCTTGTTTCAGCGCAGGGTGAACAACTTTGGGGTGGGGAAATAACTTGCACTGCAGGCTAACTGGAGGGCTGAAGATGAGACCTTTAAAAGGGTGGTAACATCACAGGAAGGGACAGGACTGCATTTTTTAACCTGTTTTTCCGTTGGAGATGGGGGTTAAGGGTCGATATGGGAGACAGATTTCTGGGATATAAGCTGTTCCAATGTCCACCTTAAAGTCCCTCAAGCCCTGTCCTAAAGGCCAAATCTTAGTTGAATTTTGATGGTAAAATTAGCAAATTTTGAAAGTACAATTTTGGGCCAGGGTGGCAGGGTTAACTGTGGAAATGCAGTTTCCCTTCCAGAGACTTCCTGCTTCCATTTCCACCTTTATTTCTTTAAAATAAACAAACAAAAATACCCAGTAAAAATCCTGTATTTTGGTGCTGGGGGTTGCATGCAAAGTTAAAAGTAAAATAGATGTAAAGAGCCTTCAGTACCTAGCTGGACTATTTCATTTTTTTTTTTTTTACTGCCTCACAGTATAAGCAATTTTGTTCTTCCCTTCTATCATCCTATTCAGTTCCTATAGCTGTCAGTTGCTGGAAAAAATGGCAGCTTTCCCCAGTTACAAAAAGAAGACTCACATTCTTTAACCCAGCCCCACAGGTAGTTTTCTAGCCATACCACCTGAGAAAGGAGCAAATGGGCCCTTACCCATGAGTCTAGTTAAACATAATACACACACTGATCTAATGCATTCCTCAGTGCTGAACAAAATTAGCCACTGCTGGGTTAACAGAAGTGACACAAAGGAATTTAGGACCCATTATTTTCAGTTTTGAAAACAGATCAACAATTAAACCCAAATGAAAATAAAGCTAATATGATAAGCTATAAAAACCGTAGGTAGAACTTACAACTGATCCTGGAATTCTGTTAAGCCATTCTTATCTGCAAGTCACAAAGACCAAAGATGAGAGAGAGACAAGAATATAAGCCTGAAGACTTAAGTAATGGCAATACTGTTAATAGTAAATAAACCTGAGCTTAAGTGATCTAAATCAGAGTGAATTGATGAAGTCCAAGACATCTGTTGGATCACAAAGAGTCACTTTGTGTGAGATGGGCGGCTATATAAATATAATAAACAAATCTATCATATCTGAAAATTAGTTATCCTGGTTGAGCTAAAGAAGTCCAACCACTATGGAATATAAGCTTACAAAATATATTCAAATGATGTTTAAGATACTGCTAGAGCCCCCAAACGATAAAGACAAGCCTATCACATAAGAAACTACATAGATAATATACAGCAACTGGTGAGATCAAAGGGTAGTTTGCAATTTTTGTAATTTTTTTTAAAGGAAATTTTATAAATTGTACTTCTTGGGAGTAAATTGTAATTGAAGTCAATAGAAGAGAATATGCGTAGCTCAGGGTTGAACTGTGGAGTCCTTGGGGTTCTCTCAGCTTGGTTGTTTTCTTGCAA